ATAGATATCTGCTCGCTCAAACCACAGACTGTATACAAAAGATGGATATTTCCACTGCAACATCACCCACTGTTTCTGAGTATTTGTCAACATTTATGTTTTGGTCTCCACCAGTCGTCTGTGTCCCCATCCACCTGTAACTCAAAGAGCCCACACCTCCCAGAGCAGCCTCAAGTGGACATTGAGGGAACTACACTACACCTAGTTGCTACTTTGCAGCAAACATGTCAATGTCAAAAACAAACAAATGAGGTTCTGTTCATGTTTTACTGTCATTTAATGCCGCTGCTAAGAAAAATATCTTCATTTGAAACAATGTTTCTAGATTCATTATGTGTCTGATCATTCTCTGTGTTCTCCTTGTTGTCTCTGAAGTGATTTTTTTGTCCTCTCAGTCTAACTGGGACTGATTCCAGCTCTCCAGCCAGCTGATCCCACTTCTTCCTGCCCACTGCTGCCTCCGTCTGCTGGGCTTTCACTCCTGCTGCCTCCATCAGGACTGAGACTGCTGCTGAAACTACACAACATATATTTTTTTAGGGGACTGAATACAAAAAAAGAGGGAAATAGTTTGAGGATGTTTGGAGAGGTGGAGCTATCCGTGGTGCTGAATTCTGTCTCCTGGGATTTTGGAAACGCTCGTCATACACACTGCCCGCCTGAATTACACAGTCTGGTCCCAGCAGCTGAAAAATCTTTACGTTTGTGGACATGTATCATCAGACATGAGAAATCGTGTTCAGGGACATGAAATCTAAGAGGGAAAACATGTTGACATTAGAATCTGAAAACAGACGAGCATTAAATTAAATATTGTGAGCATTTTTCTTTTTCTCTATGACATTAGTGAGCATTTGAAGCCTCAAGGTCATCACTTTCACTTTCATCTTAGTCTCTGAAATGCGGACATAAGGAATGAGGTGCAGAAACCAAACCACATTGCAGACTCACACAGCAACGTGACTATCCCTCCCTTAAATCCTCTCTTTCCTGGTCTCTTTTGACTGTAACAGGACCATCATTTCCACAATACGACCATAAACTGATTAGCCGAGCACATATGGCGTTATTTTTGTGCCACTATTCTGAGCGCATGTAAAAAAAAATTGCAGGTGCAAGTGTTGCATTTTGAGGAGGGCGCGCTCAACTCTTTCTGTACACTGTTATATATGTGCCACAAAACCACCCGATCACAGACTTGGATGCAAAACAAATCTGATTGGCTGTTTTGGTCTCCAATCAGCTCGAAATGACAAAATGCAATATCCCAGAATCCATTTCGTCCAAAACTCAAACGAGGCAGTGGTGGAGGAACACAGAGTGGCGGAGTTTGAAATATTACTCTTTCTGGGTCACAAAATAAACTTTTAAGATATTTTCATGGATTCTGGGATATTGCATTTTGTCATTTCGAGCTGATTGGAGACCAAAACAGCCAATCAGATGTGTTTTTCATCCAAGTTTGTGATTGGCTGGTTTTGTGGCACAAATATAACGGTGTACAGAAAGAGTTGAACGCGCACGGGCAGAAATGTTGAGAGCGCAAGCAACACATTGCGAGCAAGTGCAAATGCAAAAACTGAGCGAGAGGGGCTGCTATTGTGTGTGTGTATGGATAATAGCAAACACTGAAATACATTTTTTGCACGCAGCAATGAATTTTGTTCACTCAAATTCAGCTTTTCTTCGCTCAAAATAAATTTCTCCTCAAAATGCAACACTTGCACCTGCAATTTTTTTTTACGTGCGCTCAGAATAGTGGCACAAAAATAACGCCATAAGCACAAAGCTCATTTTCTGATGAACTATAAAACAATTAGACTTCTCTTTACCTTCGCCCCCTGGTGCACATCAGAAAGAATGCAGGTTAAAGTACTTCAGCGTTAGTTTCACATTTCAAAGCAATTAGTGAGGTTGTCCTTTTATCTTTTATGAAAATGCCTAAAAAGGTGGAGCTGGAGCCAAGTCGAGTCAGAAACTGTGGGTTGAAAATGTTAACAAATTATTGAAAGAGTCAGTGTGTCTAAAGCTGGCACTATATATTTAAATAGTTAAAAATATCAATTTAGACCAAAGTCAGAAGGTTTGGAGATGAACTAACAGGATTTATTTATAGACATATTTACACCTGCAGATTTCCTCTGATTCATACATCCCATTTAAAGCTTCTCATTGATCTAAATTAGAGGCAGCTTGTTAATCCACAGCACACAGAAGATTTCTCTATTTCCTATTTTATCTTTTTTAGACTCTAATTTTAAAGTCACACCAGCTGGCTTAGACTCAGCCCACTGAGCTGACCTCTCCGATGATCCAGGTGCGATTACTTAGACTCAGTACCGAGGCTAAGAACTCAATAAAGTCAAATTAAACCTCAGAACGATTCATCCTGCAGGTTGGGGGCTTTTTTCTAAATCCTTTATCTCACTATCACCTTATTGCATTCGTCACACAGATCAGTCCTTATAGCAGGAGCAGTATTTTTTATAAAAATGATGATGAAATGTAATTATTAAAAAGAAGATTAATATCTGTGAAGACGCAGAAGAGTAAAGATTTGGTGGACATTCTGATGTTTATCAATAAACTTTTATAACTAAAACAACAACAAATATTCAAATTCAAATATTTAAAAACTGATTTTTTTTTTCAAGTACAGTGGTACCTTGGTTATCACGAGAGTTACGTTCCAAATATAACCCGCGATAGGTGAAATCTGCAAAGTAGCCATTATAGATGTTTTAAGGCTGTAAAATCCCCCACTATACACTTTATACACTTTTCTTAGACAGGCATGAACATTTTCATACGTTTCTCTCTTCTTTAAACACTCTCAAAGTTCAAACCTTTGTAGAAAAATAAGTCCAGTATTATAGAATGAAACCAAAGTCATCCGCAGGTGCCTTTGACGGTGCAAAACGTTCCGTCGACATTGTTGTGTTTGTTGGGGAGAAAACTTGAAAACAGCACTTTAGAGTCATACTGCTAGTGATTTAAAATTTATGTAAATTTTACAAGCTGAACACATTCTGTACTGTACAGGAGACACGGCACGAGATTGATTGACAATGGTCTACAGCCAATCAGGTTGCAGAACACAATGTGCTGTAAAAAAAGAAAAAACAAAAACAACAAAAACATGCAAAATTGCACAAAAATGAAATCTGCGAAACAGCATATGTAGTTTAAAGTTTACTTTAAAAAAACAATTAGTCATATATTTGTATGAGTCATTAACCCTCTGGGATCTCAGGGTATAATTGGCTGTTTTTGACTATATTTTGATTTTACCTATATATTTCACCTTTAAAATATGTTTTTCTTGCCTTGTTTGGTACTATTATTTTCAGCACAACCTCATATATCTGAAATTTGAGTAATTTTTTCATTTTGGCATACTATATTAGCACAGTTGATCTAAATTCGGACAAAAAATTCAAAATCCGAGTAGAAAAAAGTTATATTTTTTACTGTAAAATACACAAACATGTTTAACAAATCATTTTCATAACTTGAAATGCAAATAGAAATTGTACATTTCTAAAAATTATGCACAAGTTTTGCAAACAACAAAGTTATATGGTACTATTTACCTAAAAATGCAACCAAGCCCTCAGGCGTTTTTTATATAACCATTTAAATCTATTTACAGAACAATCAGGTGTGCTGCATCAAATAAGAAGGCACACAAATTATTTGTGCCAGTCCAAAAAATGTAGTTTGTGTTCAGTATAAGACAGAGGAGAACACCAAAGGCCTAAACCCTGCAGGTCTGACAGCAGGAGGTGCATCAGCCCAGTTTTCCATGTGGGAACAGAGTTTACACTGGAATCTGCCTTTGACGGCTTTTTTTGGAGAAAATATGAAATTCAGCAGTATAACTGACACACAATACAAGACAATAACTACACAACAAACTAACTATAGCCTCCAAACACGCTAAACGTCACTAATGTCTCACATATGAAAACTCTCTCTCTCTCTCTGTCTTTCGCTCGCCCGCTTTCTGTCGCGGGTGTCACTCCTAAAAACTTCCCCTTCTCCCTAAACAACCAAATGTCACATGTTTGCCATATCATTTTTTTGATTGGCTGACATGGTAAAATCTAACACCAATAGGGAAGGGATGTTTTTTCTTTTTCTTTTTTCACTGGCAAGCAGAGAGTGTTTGCTAGCGCTGTCTGTAGAAAACGCCGTTTTTACCGTCCTTCCCGCTGTAAACACCACTGTTTTGTCCAGAAAAAAACATTGTGTGTATTTTTTATCACAACTCTGGTTTTACATGGCCCATCGACACAATTCAAAAACTGGTATATAGTTTGAAGTCTGCATTTTCGACCCAAGTTGAAATGGGGACTCTGACTTACTGCATCTTGTAGCTGTGTTGTCTTAAATTGGTCATGTGATTTTGACTGCCGCCTGGTGACCCCAGAGGGTTAACATATTTTAATAGTCAAATTATTTTATTAATCTGATTCTTAGTTTTTAACATAATAGCCTTTAAGCTGATCATTGGCAAGTTTTCCATTGTTTTCTGTAAGCTAAATATTTTCGAGGGTCTCTGTCATTTTAGCTGCTAGAACAGTTTGTTTCAAGTAATTTAGATGTTGACTGTAAATATATGATGATTAAATTCTTTTGTATTTTCGATCTTTGAAATAAAATTTAGGATGCTTTTACTTTTTTCCCCCCTGGATTTTGTTTTTGTAATTCATTCCACTTTGTTGGTGAGTTTCTTTTCTTGGCATTAATGAGCTTCCATACATGATGGTGATAATTATATTTCCTCTCATGTATGAGGCTCTCTGCGTGTTTAAATAAAGTTGTTTTTTTATTCTTGATTTTTCTCTGTTACACAGTCAGAGCAGATGAAGTCTGCTGATTTTTCTCTGTCTCCATAGCAACACGGGGGTATTTACACCAGCATGCAGGTCTGACTGTCGCAAACTGCTCAGCAGCCAATTACAGAGGCCAGTTTGATCCTCTGCAGATTCCTGCAGTCAAACCTGAGACCTGCTCGCTGTGAGACACCTGCAGCACAAACACGTCGAACTGGTTACATAACCCATGATGCAGTGCGCTTCTTTCGCTCTCGTTCCTGCCGTTGTGGGGCGCGTGTCCGCGGATCCTTCATGTGGATTTTAGCGGAACTTGACGGACAGGAGCCGAGCAGCTCAGCTCGACCTGCTGCACGACTCTCCGCTGTTTGTGCGCACATTCAGGACCGGAGCACCTGCTGGCTTTTACAGTCTGTCTGCACTGCGTCGAACCCCCCCTCCTCCTCTTCCTCACTCCCCTCCCTCCCTCTGTCGCTCACTTATTTTCTCCCTCTCCCTCTCTCTGTCTTTCTCCTCATGAAATCCTGCAATATGCTTCCAAATTCCCGGACGCGGACTCTCTCCTGAGCCGGTTTTCCTTCAAAGCCTCGGATTTTTTTTAACCGTTTTTACCGCAGAGAAAATCACGAGAGTCTCTGAGTGCGGATGCTGCTGCAGTGCCAAGTCCTCCCAGTCCTCCCCTTCAGACTGAGAGCCAGCTCTTCTTGGGAGTTCTATCTTTTTTCCAGCATGATTTTAAGAAATTGTCAGTCAGGATTTTTGCTGTCTGAAGCCTACTCCTTCTCTTCTTTCTCCTCCTCCTCCTCTCTCTGCGGGCTTCTCCGATCGACGCTGAAAATCTACACCAAGAGGATACGGATGTTGACCAAGACAACATAGTCTATTAATATTTCAGAGCTACTGTAAAGCGATATTAAACCCCAGGTTGTGGCGGGTGGCTGGGGAAGGTGCACAGGATCTCCATCTGCTGCTCTCCAGCTCTGCTCAGGTGGGTTTTATCTGTCACCTTCATCACTTGGATTCGGGTTGAAACTGTGTGTTGGTGTGAAGGTGAAAAGCTTTTCGTGGCTGAAGGCTGAGTGATGTGCGCAGTGGGGCTGCAAACTCGAGTACTGATGTATGCGGTAAAATTACAGCAGATGCAGCGCGGCTTTTGGAGGTGCTGCAGGATTTTTTTTCTTCCCTCTCAACAACAGGAAGCTCTCCAGCCAATGAAATGTGTCTGCGGTGAAATAAAACCATGTTTGAGTGACGGCATGTCATTTTTTCTGTCTTTCAGGTGAGAAAAAAGAGATGTGATGGCGATAGTGCTGAGGATGATGATGATAATGGAGAGGGAGGTTCTCCACAGCTCCTGGCCGCAGTAGGAGCTTCTCCACTCCAGCCTACCGCCTCCTTCTCTCCTCTACACCTAAACTTCCTCTTTCTCTCCTCCACCCGCCAGGAAGGATGACTGTGGTGTCCACAGAAAACATGGACGAGACTTCCACCCTGCCGGGTCACCCGCAGGACCCCTACCCGCCTGATGATGACCACGACAACCATGACTGCTGTGAGCGGGTGGTTATCAACATCTCAGGGCTGCGCTTCGAGACCCAGCTGAAGACCCTCGCCCAGTTCCCGGAAACCCTACTGGGGAACCCTAAGAAGAGGATGCGCTACTTTGACCCCCTTCGAAACGAGTACTTCTTCGACCGGAATCGCCCGAGTTTTGACGCCATCTTGTACTATTACCAGTCAGGAGGACGGCTGAGGAGGCCGGTCAACGTGCCGCTGGATATGTTCTCAGAGGAGATAAAGTTTTATGAACTCGGTGCTGAGGCAATGGAGAAGTTTCGGGAGGATGAGGGGTTTATTCGGGAGGAAGAGCGACCTTTGCCTGAGAACGAGTTCCAGCGGCAGATCTGGCTCCTCTTCGAGCACCCAGAGAGCTCGGGGCCAGCTCGGGGTATCGCCATTGTCTCGGTGATGGTCATTCTTATTTCAATAGTAATTTTTTGCTTGGAGACATTACCAGAGCTGAAGGAGGATCCCAACGACCGGATTCGCATGGTCGGCAACACCACCATGTACTACAAAGCAAGCGTCCTCACAGACCCTTTCTTTGTGGTGGAGACGCTCTGCATCATCTGGTTTTCCTTTGAGTTGATAGTTCGGTTCTTTGCCTGCCCCAGCAAGGCAGCGTTCTTCAAAAACATGATGAACTCTATCGATATTGTGGCTATAATCCCGTATTTCATCACTCTTGGCACAGAGCTGGCCGATGACCAAGGCAACAGGGAGGGTAAGGGTGGTGGGGAGCAGGCCACATCTTTGGCCATTCTCAGGGTAATCCGTCTGGTGAGGGTGTTCAGGATCTTTAAATTGTCCCGACACTCGAAGGGGCTCCAAATTCTGGGGCAAACTCTAAAGGCCAGCATGCGGGAGCTGGGCTTGCTCATTTTCTTCCTCTTCATTGGCGTGATTTTGTTTTCCAGCGCTGTCTACTTTGCGGAGGCTGAGGAGAAGGACTCGTTCTTCTCCAGCATCCCAGATGCTTTTTGGTGGGCCGTGGTGTCGATGACAACAGTCGGCTATGGGGACATGTACCCTGTGACCATCGGAGGGAAGATTGTTGGCTCGCTTTGCGCCATAGCCGGAGTGTTAACCATCGCGCTGCCGGTGCCAGTCATCGTGTCCAACTTCAACTACTTTTACCACCGGGAGACGGAGGGTGAGGAGCAGGCCCAGCTGCTCAACGTCAGCAACCAGAACTTGGCGTCGGACACCAACTCGAGTCGCCGCAGCTCCTCAGTGGTCAGCAAGTCGGAGTACATGGAGATAGACGAGGACTTAAACAACAGCATTGACAACTTCAGGGAAGCTAACCTTAGGACTGCCAACTGCACAGCTCCCAGCCAGAACTGTGTTAACAAGGGCAAGCTGCTCACTGACGTGTGAGGCGGCATGCGACCACCGCTGTAAATATTGTAGAAATATCTGGATGCTTTATATCCATTGGTGCATTTTATTCTCATCTTTGCATTGATTCATTCAGACATTTGTGGAGACTTGCAATGCACATGTGGTCAAATTATTAAAAAAAAAAAAAAGAGAAAAACATTTGTTTGGCAATAGTACAAAAATCTGCAGGTTCGGGGAAACATTTGAGAAATTATTGACAAAGTTTAGTAACTTGCACCCTTCGATTTTCTAATGGTCTAAACATTAAATGGAAGCTTCGCTAATTTTACTTTTAGTCAAGGATTTCCATCGACTGTATATAAAAATATGGATGAAAGGTATAAAGAGTGAAGCTAGTGCTGAGGTGGCTTAAACCTGCATTCCTTCTTCTGCAGCGGGTGACCTCTCTTTGAGAAGTCTATGAGAAAATGAGCCTACTGCTTACCTGACTTCTCAGTTCAGCAATATTTTCCTGATGAGTTTATGGTCTCAGTTGCTGGTTTCACGTCTTACTGATTAAAACACTTTGGAAATTACGGTCCTGTTCGAGTCATATGGGACGATAAAAGAGGGGCGGAGCTAGAACAGAGCTTCCTCGTGACTATCTGAGCGTGTCCCTCGGTTCCTCATTCATTTTAGATCTCATGCTCCATGTTCAGATTCCAAACTGGCTTCAAACGAGGCTTCACAAAACAAAGCATGCCATCGTCACACTGGCTACATCCATCTTTTATATACAGTCTCAGAAGTTAGTTTAAATGTCTCAACTTGTCAGTTTATCTACACTAAATTTTGTGGTAAAAACTGGACCTGTGGATTTTAAAGATATGAAAAGGCTGCAAAACAGATACCCACATTGCATCCTGGGAAATGCAGTGTTTTGTCCCAAACTAGAGATGGAAAAGTAAGAGTATTTCTTCTTCCTGTTTTATATCACTTTTAGCCATTCTTCCAGCTCAGTGTAAAAAGAAAACACATCCTTTTGGAAGGGAAACACTCACCTGATGGAGTGCACCTTTATCAGAGTTATTATGGTAATATCCTCTTATAATAATTACAATTTAATTTAGGATGAATTAAATGAAAAACTTTAGAGCAAAGCAATACAACTTTTATCTGTGCTGCACTGTTTGACAAAGAGATATTACGCCACAGAAAAAATGGATCAAAAGTAGGTTTAAAAGTAACAGAAAAGATTCAGAAAGTATCAAAAGCAAGCTAAGACAATGACATATATGCAAGGCATATATTGTGAATTTAATAGTAGAAATGACTAATTGTACAATAATGAATCAAATGTCTTCCCGACACCTGCCAAGTTTTGTGCAACAGACCGAACTTTCAGGAAAAAAAAGGACCAGAAAAACAAATAATTAAAGCCCAACTGAGATTCGAAGAACGATTTCCTCCCTGAAGAAACGCTTTCTGCGTGGATTATTTCAGGTGTGTCTTTCTGCGGCACATCCAGGGAAAGTTTGGAAAATGCGACGCCGGATGTAGACCCCGGCTTTTCAGGCACCTTATCAGAGATAAACAGGAAGCGTGCCGAGCCTTGTGAAGGATTACGTGCATCGCTGCTGCTGCTATGGGTCGGCTGGAGGTTCCCTGTATGATGCCATGCAACACTCCTTTATATAGAAGCATGTGGAGACTCTCTTCTCTCTTATATCGGCATGCACAAGACGTTACCTCATTTTATTTCTACATTCTTCTGTGCGTCGAGCTCCATCTCCCGCTCCTGGATTTTTTCTCTCATTTGTTTTCACCAAAAGTGCACTGGCTGCTTATTCTTATCATTTCAGTTGTTTCAGAGCATTTAAGTGTTGAATGTTTAAGGGAACAGGAACTCTTCTTCTTTTGAAGATTATGGCATGTCAAAATACTAAAGCATTATGGCCTAATTAGCTATGGTATAGCTACGTATATTCAATGCATGACGTCAGTATTAAATTGCTTGCAGTTGGGAGGGACCTGGGGAGGTGGAGGATGATGATGATGATGTGTGCTCTCATTATTGTCGCGCTAAAGACAGAATTTGGTGCATGATGGAGCTAAACTGTCGGAGGGAACAAATCTCCTAAAAAAGAAGAAAAGAAAAACAAATTAAGAAAAAAAAATGAGATATAGCCGATGATCTCTAAAAAAAAGATCTCATAAATTCCATCCTCCGTTTTCATTTGTTTAAAGCTTCGATCTTGGAGTGCATGGGATCATTTCATGTGATTTATGACCCCAAGAAGGAAAGCAGTAATATTTAACAAATTTCATAGATATATCTATAATTAGCGTCTTAGTGCCTTGAAGCCCTTCTCGTTCTAAAATTGACTGAAGTGCCTCCCGTTCCAAGAGAAAATCAAAGAGCTTACTGTGTGCAGCTTCTCCTGCCATAAAGATGCACTGCTCCCTGCACTTATGGAACTAAACACAGATGAACCCACATGTTCAGAATTTAGTCCTGATTCCTGGGCCTAAAAAACACAAAGAAAAGCTTTCTGGGATGATGACACACAGCATTCGTGCAGGAATGTTCAAATATGGATCATTTAAGATTTCCTTATTTTTGGTACATTTGGAGTTTGATGGTATGTATACCACACAGACACTCAGCCCTTCCAGATATTACCCATTAGAAAAGTAACATGGAGGTGATGTGTTGGATGTTCAGATGGAGTGACTGTTGAAGGACAGGAGCTGCTCAGCTGGTTCAATTAGAACAGGACAGAAAGGTCAAACAGCTCGATATAATAGAAAGTCATGAAGGAAATGGTCAGAAACGAAGGCTGAGAGTTTGAGGATGGTGACCCTCATGCTGGTGCAGTACATCTGTGCATAGGTGTATAAAGAGGGATATTATAGAGTGACTGCCATGTGTAAAGTCCTTCTTACAATAGATATGAGGAAAGAGGCAATCGGTGATCGGGTGATGAGGTGTGATGAGCAGAGAAAGAGCAGTGAAGAGCTAAACCCTGCGGTGAGGGTGCCTCTGTCATAGTGTCGTAGTTCGCATGTTGTCTGAAGGTTCCTACAGACTGTGATCTGATCTGTGCCCATATCTGTAGTCAGAGCACATAAGCTTCAGGTTTAAATTAGTAGTCTGGACTCTGCTGCTGAAGGCTGGATAGGCTTTGGTTGGATGTAGGTACCCTCCTCTGTGCACAGCAAAGAGGGATTATAACAGCACCGTCATCCCCCATCATCCAAACACTGAGGTGGTGTTTAACCCCCCACTCGAGCTCCGAGCCTTCGAGAATAAAAGCCGAGCACCACTAAAGTTCTTCCTGCTGCCTTAACCTTTAAATGACTTAACATCAGTTCTTCCTTTAATTATTCACATGAATGCTAAAAGAAGGCACTTCAATCAGCTGCTAAGGGAGCAAAATACCTATTCAGACACATGAAACTAATGAAATTAGTTTCTTATTTATACCAGCTAACTGCACAGAACTGTATACACTGATTAAGGTAACAAACATTTTTAAATAGCCACAGAAACAACACAGAAAAATACATTTAAAATAGCATGTGATCAATAACTGGTGCTAATTATGGCTCATTATTCTCACTTTTTTTTAAAGAACTAAAATTAATTTGGAGGAAAAGTCAAAAAAGTGACAGCTCAAAGACCACTTTGTTAGGTACACCTTTGAAATCTAGAGTCATACATTTCCTGCCTTTACAAAAACCGCCATGTAAAACAGGTGATGATTTCTGTTTATTACAAAGCTCTTTCTCAATTATGTCACATTTTTTAGATTTTACAGGTGTACCTGGATTTTAGCGCAAAATGCAGATTTTGTGGTTTCACCAAAAAAAGTACCTCACTTTCAGAGAAATTTCTTAAAAATCTACCAATTATTGGCAATCTGTGAATACAAACATGGCGTGGGCGTCCTCGATGAAGTTAGGGCTTCAGCTGAGGCACAAAAACGAGCATTAGGGAGCCTATGAACTGAACAGAACAGCAGAACACTGCCACCTTCTGATGCCGGGGACCAAAAACTGCTGGAGATTCGACCAGAGTCTTTGGAAAGAGTCAAAACTGCCGAGAACGATACTTCTGTCATCGATCTGCAACACCTTCACCTGCCTCTAGTCACTGCCGTGTTTGTGATGCTTTTTACTAAGCTCGTCCTGAGTGAGCGTGAAAGGAAAAAAGCCTCTGCCTGTGTGTGGATGATGGTGGATCTGACCTCAGTGTTTCCTCTGCAGAGCGTCTGAACATTACCACGGGCGTTAGTCACTCAGCACGCCAGCAAAATGGCACTGCTGTTCGTACAGGGGAGAACCTGCCTGTGTCAGGGAAGACTGCTGTGATATTTTTTTCTGTTAAAACATTGGCTTTAATTCCACACGGTCAATTTTTAGTGACATTAACAGCTGTAAGTGATTAATCATCACTTTTAGTGTTACAAAATGTTTTAGAAATGTTTTAGACTGCATCCAAGTGTCCAAAAATCCATCCAGTCAACAACATGACTGTGACCATCACACTAGAGGGAAAGGATCACACACACACATACACACACACACACACACACACACACACACACACACACACACACACACACACACACACACACA